CTTCCGCCTCAGTTCCACACCGCCAACCCCCTCCTCCTCCCTCAAGGGGATTATTTTCGTTGACCTAAAGCATATGTTGATTATCAATTACACACATCCCCTGTCTCCATCGCTCGACTGTAGTTTTAGTAGGGAAATGTGAGCATAGTTAGAAGGTTGAGTGCGTTCACTATCCCTCATGGCCTTGGCCTATTTTTTTTCTTTTTAGGCGTCCTCCAGCTCTTCGTAAAATTGCTGGCTGGATCGATAGCTGGAATTTGACTTTTTATCTTGTTTTTGACTTAGGCATCTAGTTGTAATTAATATCAAGCGGTGGAGTGAAGGAAGTGGTGCACCTGGATGATCAATCATGTTCTATGTGGGAAAGATCCGTTTATGGCTTCACCAGCTTTTCTAAAGAAATTTTCTGCTTGTTTGAACATGCAGTAGCTAAGGGGGGAGGAGGGGGGGGGTTGGTGGAATAGCTCTTTCCGACTACATCAATCTCAATTCCCCTAGGGGAGGAAGCTCTAGCGATGAAAGCAGACAGTTTGTGCAAAAAGAAAATTAGATGGGTATCACTTCACCTGAGCGTTTAGAAGATATATGCACAGTTTTTAAGGGCCTTGGGTGCTGTGCACTAAAATCCTCCGCCTTCCTAAAGGGATATTGCCCTACTCTTTGACATGCAATGAAATTGTAATAAATTCAAGTTGATAAGAACAGTGAGGGACAACATCAAAAAACAAGTGGTAACCAAAGGAACGCGACGCTTACAGGGAGGGGAAGTCTTTTTTGCTATGACGCACATCATCAACCTTTTCGTCGCGTAGGGTGTTATCGTTAATGGAAATTTTACGGCAAAACATTCTCAAGATGTATTCTCATAAAAAGAAGCCTTCACTGCCCTCAACGTCTTCGGAATATGACGTCATCTGCCATCACCGTCGAGCTCAAGGAGGCTTACCAGTAATCGCTCCAGCCTGAAGCTGCTACATAATTTCTTCAAGTCGATTAACTGGTGAATAGCTTCCTAGAGACATTAGCTGTGACTGTGCAAACCGCTTTTGATCAGCTTTTCCGATAGGGTTGCAGTGGTCTACGATCTGTCGAAAACCTCGTGTAGCTTGAATCGCGCATCATGTCCTCATGAGAAAACTTTCTGCTGTCGCCGAGTAGAAGGCTGTGTAGTTTTTTCTTTTCTCGCTAGCTTGGGAAGCTCGCTTTTCACACTCTGAGGACCATCTCGAATCAGAAAGTGTTAATTCTGTTTTTATTAAATGTGGCTGTGAGTTGTTCGGTTATTGCCCCCTCCCATGGGATATGCGCTCCGCTCATACGCTTTCCGGCTTTGGTATGAAATGTTCGGGGTGGCGACCTCGTTATTTCGGCGGTGGCTAGGTAGACCAATTTCTATTCGGGCAAGTCCTTTTTGGGTCCACACTTCTCATCCAAATTGTCTTTGTTGACCCCATGAGGGCAATTACTCATCGTCGTCCTTTCCTTATGCTAGCGGTTGTTTCTCAAGAATGCTGGGTTGTGAACAACGTCCTAGGGGGATAAAAAACAATTGTTGGGCAAACAAAACTATCAGTTGTGACAGTGGAATTAACTATCTGGATCTCTTAGTTCGTCAATGTTTGAAATTTCAGCGCGTGAGGTATGATCGAGAGCCGAAGGCCCGTTTCCCTGAAAAAGAAGAGGATCCAGTGGCACATTGGGTGAAGGACCAACAGAAAATAGGTGCGCCTCGCCTATTTTTCCATTCCAGCAATTTCTTCTCAGTTTCATTCAGTGACTTATTCTAGAACAAAAATGCTCATATAATTTCTATTTTAGCGTTGCTTTCTGAGAGGGGAGAAGCAATAAGTGAGCCGGTGTCCATAAGTAGGCCAGTTGCGACAGGATTTTCCTCTTCAGGTGAGTTGATTTTGGCTCCGCCATATAACTTCGCAAAGCTCATCACAGCTTTTAGCACTCTCGTTCCGTACCTTCTCTCTACGATGGCACATTGGTTTCCCATCGAAGTTGCCGCCACGGAAAGCACAGGTGGCCTAGCATTCCGTTTCTCTTTTGATCGACCACTCTCAATGGGGAAGGAGACACTCAATTCTTCCCCTCTTAGTTTTCCTTCCTCCTGATATGAAAGCGTACAGGTTGAAGGAGAGAACCTTTCATATACAAAAAACAGTCCTCGTTTAGGAGCTCATCCAAACGACGATCGAGAAGCCGTCATGCCAACAACTCCTCCGAATCCGAGTCTCCAGGTTTGTATAACCATTCGCGCTGGTGAGTAGGGGCATAAGGAGTAAGGAATAAGAAATATTCCAGAATCACCCACGGTAAAGAGCGACGACGGAGTCGAAACCGATGCTCGAGTCGAGTTCACGAGGAAACCGACCGATGGATTAGAGCGAAAAAGTCAGCAAGAGCAAACGGTAGTTTCATATTGTTATTCGCAGGTGTAATACCATCATTTGTTATGAAATTCGGCGTGAAATGATGCGTACTGGAATCATAATTTCTTTGAAAATTCTCATTCATTAATGGATACCAATTTCACAACTGCGTCATATGCGCACCTACGAATAAGCTAGTATCCGTCGCATTTTGTATCGCTCCGCAAAGGGATCGTAGCTACAGAAAATTCCCTTCCAAGCGATACAAAAGGCCTCCAAAATTTTCTAAAGTGCTCTATTGCGCAAGCAATCCTGGAATTCCCAGAATGCTACCACTGCTCTTGTCATGCTGCCCCGCGCCTACAGTTGCTCCGATACTAGCGAAGCGAATTACTTTGTTACGGATACCGCGTCGAACACTAGACCTGATGATGGTGGGTTGGGGGGGGGGTGGTATTAAATATACTGATCTTTATATTTTATAAACCGCTAACTTGGTGTGTCGGTTTGTATGTATGTGTGTCTGTATGTATGTATGTATGTATGTATGTCTGTCCGTCCGCAAAATGAAGTGAGTGAGAAGGAAGCTCATGGGATAAACAAACCGCTAACAAATCGGGTAGCTTACAGGATTTGAGATATCAATGTTTTGTAGCAGGATAGTTGTGATAACACTCCTAGGGCTATATAAACACCTGCTTAGCAGTTAGAGGGCAGTGGAGGAAGAAAGTGAGTATGGGAAGGGGAGGTGGAAAATCCACGGTCTTTCATGGTGATCCCTTCTACTGTATGAAACACCATTGTGTTGCATACGCGTCACTTCCAGGAGGTGTTGGTGTCACAGGAGGAAGGGACCATAGCGGAGGATAGAAAGCTTGCGCAGGAAAGGAAGGTCCCGGCGGTTGACGGGGGACTAATCTGGTACAATAAAAAAAGATATTCATTGGAAGGCAAAATTCGAGATTGATGTAAAAAGTGAAAGCTCTCCGCATAAATATGATGGTTGTTATCGAAGAGCATGAACCCGCTTGAGCGCCACTATTAGCAAGGTTGAGGAGCGAGGCCGTAGGCTCACTACCACCATTGGATACGAACCCGTGAAGAGATGTACTTGTTTCGCTACTGCTAAACACTGGGTTTTCACTCTCGGCTTTTCGGCGTTTATTCCCCTTTTTTCATTACTGGCGTTACACTTCACGCTCCATCGTTACATTCAAGCGCCAACACCAGTTCGATCTCGGACCTTGCCTCAAAATGTGAAGTTATGAGTGTTGAGGTCCAACCTGAAAAACAACATTCATTTTTCCGAAATCGAAATGAGGAGTTGCTCCACGGAATTCCGCCGATTATTAACTTTCGCACTGGATGCCCTTGCATTCAATGTGTAGACCAAAGCGCAAGTGACATTTCCATTTAATGAGTGGATGCAGAATGTGTGGCGCATTAAGAAGAGATCGACCAATATCAACATTTAACTCTTACTCATACAGCTCTATTTTACTCTCAACATATACAACTCATATGCAGAAGTAGAATGATTCTCGCTCCATGAACACGTGCTCAGGAGCCAGGATCTTGGGAGAGGCCTTTCGAATGAAGTGAAACTTTTGGTTCGCTGCAACTCAACAAAAAAGATTTTGGAAGGGAGTGGTGAAGTTTCGAGTTTTGATGGAAAAATACAGGCGGCTTCGGGCGGAATGTGGGAAGTATTTTCGGAAATAAGAGATTTGCCCCAAGAAGCGACTTCGAGTGCGCGAGCATAATCGCGTGGAAACGCCTTCGCGACCGTCTACGTTGCTAGCTTATTTTGCTTCCGTCAAATTCTGTTCATTCTCTCCTAACTGAAGACAAGCGTTCAGGTCTCACAGTGATCATCACAACCGTGACCGGGACGATCGTCGGCGGCGGAAAGAGCGAAATGGAGACGATCACCGTAAACGTCGGCATGAACGGGACGACTACGAGAGGAACGGAAGAGACGATATCGTCGAACGGACCGGCGAGAGGCGATCTCGACGACATGAGCACAGAAATGGCGAAGCCTCGAGATTGGAAAGGCCTGAAAAGGAGTAAGTCCCGCAATCTTATCCTGGAAGCTCGATCTAAAATTACCTTCTCTAGAACTTCTTTCGATACCGTGCAGGATCTGATGCCAATCCCACTCTCCGGTGGGATATCCATTCCACAGCACATCGTCATCCCCCCATCGATGGGTGAGCGAGGTCCTGACGGAAACCCTCTCCCACAAAAGTTTCAAATCAACTCGGAGATCACCATCAACTATGACGGATTGAATTCCACACCTAGTCCGAATCCTAACGGACCATATCGCGGAGATATCCGGTAAGGCGGTTTCCGAGAGAGACGTATAGCTTAACTGCTATTGAAACTCAACTTATTTCCAGGCTGTGGGTGTGCAGTCGAATGTTTGAAGATGCCGCCGCCTCCTATCCGATCTCTCATGCTCAGTGTATGCTGCCATTTCAGCTCGCTTTCAATAATCTTTCGTCAACTCATCTGTGATATCCTAGTGAACCACTCTACTTACTTCTTCCTCCCTCCTTCCAGTTGTACATAAATTTCTGAAAGCGTTCGCTAGTCTTCTCTTCTGTTCTCGGAACCGCTGATTCATTTCACACTATCCGGTTTCTTCTTCCACGCAAAGAGTATCTGCCTCATTCATGCTGTTTATGCTCCTAATGCTCCTATCAGTTATAATTATGAATTATTGGGTTGTTTGGAAAGCTCCTGCCGATTTTCAAGGTCGACTGAAATAAAAATTCTCTAAAGAAGCTATTGGATATTCCCCTCTTCAGATGGATTTGGCACATTAAGTCTTTCTGCTATTATTGCTGCAAGTTTTGGCCGGGCGTGCATTCAGGGCGGCTTTTACGATGAAAAGCTTTTTTTAAATTGAGATAGAGATGGTCTTTAAACGAAAGAAGAAAAAACTGACCTAGAACCTGAGAAATGGGACTCTCCCCTTACCCGTTGGTGCAACTCATCGGTGCTGCCCTATGCAACGCTAACGCTCCCTTTCTCTGCTGAATGGCCAGAGACTAACCAGAAAATGCTTTCAACTTCCCATGGAAGTGGATGGAAGCTGGAATGAATCAATAGAATAATGAATGCTGTTTACAAATATTGAGACCAAAACTGCTACGTGAATATTCCGTGGGCGGTCAAAGTTGACAGGAAGTTAAGCCTCAGCTCAGTAGGATTTCCCTGAAACAGTACCCATAAGGGTAAACAGATGGCCTGGTCACGAATATGACATTCATTTTGAGACGGAGGCGATCTGCGCCAGTTTGGTGCCGCAACTTTTACTGCATTTCTTGCCAACTTTGACCGCTCACAACTTGCCTAGAAAGGTCGCGTAGCAGTTTTGGTCTACATATCTGTGAATAGTATTCAGTACTCTACCGAATCGCCTGGTTCTCCATCCGAGGACGCGAGAGGTGGGGGGGGGGCGTACCAGGCCATTAGAGGTCAATTAGGCCTGCTAGATCGTCGGGGCATATTCTTTAATGTGAATTGCGTTTGCGTTTTAGTGTGCACCCTTCGGAGGTCTGCTTGTCTCTTCACTCGGTAACTTTCCTCTTCTTCGACCTTCGTCTTCATCGTGGAAACTTTCAAAGAAATTGTGCTTACATACTAAAAGCCCGAAAATTCGCGTTTTCATGGGAATAGTTCCTCCATAAAACTTCTAAAAAATCCCAGAAAGTGTTTTAAAATAGACTTCGAGAGTCGTGTAATTACTCATATTACTCATAAGAAAGCTTGATCCCTGTCGTATCCTGCCATCGGTTACTATTGTTGTACACTAATAATTTTGACGAAGTCTATGACTAGTGGAAGCCCAAATAGGGAAGAGTATTGTCAAAATTATGATCACGTCAGATTGTACCTCAAGAGTGATTTTGGTCTCAGATTCGTTGGTGTTTACTTCCCCCTGCCTCTTCCCCTCTCCCCCTCTCCTTCCACCTCCCTTCCAGCGGCACTGCACCACCATGTGAAGCAGACGTGAGCGTGCTCATTAGTGTTTATATAACCTCCCTTTCAAAAAGCGAGAAAGTGTCGGGTGCAGACCAAACACCACAACTGACGACGGCCTCCAAGTAAATCTGGTTAGAAGTTGTTCATAGTGATAGCTGATTTCTGGTAAATGATAGTTGTAATTAGTGACAATCGATAGAATACAACTGCAACAGGCTAATCATTTCATTGGCAGAACATTTTGTGAAGGCCGTCGTCACTTGTGGTGCATGGTCTGCACCCGACACTTTCTCGCTTTTTGAAGAGAAGGGTATGTATTTGGCCTTAAGGGCTCATTATAACCACAGCTATGGGATAGAGGAGATAGGAGAGTAAGCCACTGGAGAAGACAATCAGTAAAAACATCAAATCGCGGGAAAAGGCAGTGAGT